TGATGTTTTGTTTTTATTGTGACAAGTGTGGAAAATCCCACTTCGCAAAGATATACTGTAGCAAACGGAATAATGGCTGCCATAGCTCGTTTTACAAGCAATGGATAGGCTTCTCTTAAAGAAGACCAAAACTCTCCAAGAGTTTTTGAATGGAAATCCATTTTTAACAAGGATTTTGTTTTCAAATCAATTAGCTCATCTTTGGCAAGGTTCATGTCATCGATACAGTCAATATCACACAGAAAAGGATTACGAATCCACAACTCATCTTTTATATTTATTCCATTCGAATTGAAATATTTTTCAAATGAAATTTGAAGTACTTCCAGGTGTTCACAGATTTCATTTTTCAAGTTATTTAATAACTAACTGTCTTTCCGAGATCCATTTTTAAAAAGCACTTCGTCCAACATTTGAAAGTTTGCATATATCCCATTTTGAATTCTAATTTTCAAAAGTGACATTTTCAATAAAAATGCCTGTAGTTTCTTAGTGGCATCTATAATTGTTGTATCAGGCCCTTGAATTGAAAGACATATATCGTTCATGTGGTTAAAAATGTCTGCCAGGTAAGCCAATTTACATATAAAATCTTTTTTCTTGAAATATTCGAAGAGTGAATTTTCATTTTCTTCTAAAAAAAAGTGATACTTCTGTCTTCAACATGAAAATTCGTTTCAAAACCTGCCCTCATGACAGCCAGCGCACTTCTGTGTGGTACAGAAGTACCTCATGTTCTGCGTTCATTTCTTGACACAGTGTTTTAAAAAGACAATGATTAAGAGCTCTACTTCTAATAAAATATCACAGTTTTAATAAATGTTGACAATAGTTTCTTTTAAGCTGGTTGGAAGAGTTTTTGTAGCCAGTGCATGTCTATGTATGTAAAAAACAATGTGTAACAATAACATTAGGAGCCTCTTTTTTTTTTACCAAATGGGCAAAACCAGATTTATTGCCAATCATCGCAGGTGCTCCATCCGTACAAAAGTGAATGAAGTATTTTGTTTCCAGTCGAAGTCGTGTTTGGAAAAGGAAACATTTAAAATCGCTAAAACATCAACTGACTTTGTAGTTTGCAAAAGAAACTCACAAAATAAGAATTCTTCTTTGATAGTATCAGCAGACACGTAACGCACAAAAACAAGAATTTGACTACAATTCGAGATGTCTGTAGTTTCAATCCAGTTGCATACTAAAGGGAAATGGCAATGCTTTCAATTCATCGATGATTTGTTTCAAGATATTGCAAGAAATTTCAACTATTCTTGAATGTATCACATCCTTGGACAATGGAATAGCCTCAAGTTTTCTTTTTTTTTTTTTTTCTCTGTTCCAGTCCACAAACTAATTCAACCATTTCCAGCGCACATGGCTTAATTAATGTCTCTCCAATAGTATACGGTTTCTTACTTTTGGCAATACGATATGCAACTCTGAAAGATGCCTCAACCAAAGGTTTTTGTGAAATACCAAATCCAAGTTTGGTTAATGTTCCAGATTTTGAAAACTGGTCTTTCTTCTTTGTAACAAAATCTAGATCTTTAGATGTACATTTTCAGGATGAAGAGATTTGAGATGCTCTATCAATTTTGCCGGTTTTTTATACTGGACGTTTGCGAAAACTTTTCCATACAGAAAGCATTGTGGCTTTTCAATCTTTCATGCATTCATTGTGGCTTTCCGATTCCTTCATGCAGCAGAATCCATATTTTACATAATTTTCATCATACTTCCTTTTTTTGGACATTTTGGACTACAAAAAATATCAAATAACCAAATGAAACATTAAGAACAAACATTAAGACACAAAAAAAAAAAAAAAAAAAAAAAAAAAAAAAAACACTTGAAAAAAAAATACTTTAATTACAACTTATGAAAAAGTAAAACAAATATTTTGTTTTAAAAATTTGCTATAACTTTGCGGAACTGATTTTAACATCACTTTATTTCTAAGTGAAGTTCAAAGGCTACTTTGTGTTTCTAAAAATTTCAAAAAATTTTATATGGTTTGCGAATGTTTTTTTTCTCGTATTGTGGGGGTCTCTATTATTGGGAAATGGCAGACAGACGGCTTACAGAGGTTGCCCGGGACAAAAAAGTTTGTTTTTAAATATTGATGCAGTAATATTTTTAAAAATTGGGAGCAGTCGGCGGACCCCCAAAATATGACCCATGGACTCCCAAGGGGTCCATGAACCACACGTTAAGAAACACTGCTCTATGGCAAGAGTTCTCAACCAGGGAAGAATGCTGTCAGCCTTTTATTGATGTGTTAAGTATTTAGTTTATAAATATAAAATACTACATTTATCCAAGTTGGCTTACAGTGGTTGCCCGTGACAAAAAAAGATTGTTTATAAATATTGATGCAAACATTTTAAAAATTAGGAGCAGTCAGCGGACCCCCAAAATATGACCCATGGACCCCCAAGGGGTCCATGAACCACAGGTTAAGAAACACTGGGCTAGAGAAACAAAGGATAGGCCTTTATCCATTTTTTGCAGCAATTCCACTTTTTGTTTGATGAACATCGAAACATATTTTCGCTTTGTAGAAATATTTGGGAGCTCCAGCATCGGAAATTCTATTTGACATAATCGAAAGTTCAAGCTTACTTTTATAAAACTGCTCTAACAGTCTGCAAAAAATAATAAGCCGGATCCAATTCGAAGATTAAGGAACAACACAATCTGCAACATTAACTAAAATAGATAATTAGATAATTTTAGTAGATACCGTCCGTTATACGTTAAACACGCATGCGTAAACGTATTATGCGCATGTGCACACGCATATGCGCAGCTATAAATGCCTATGCGTAGTGTGTAAACGCCTATTAACGTCAATGCGACGCATGCGCAGAAAGTTAGTAGCTTTGAGGTCTGGATTATGGGTGTTCGAATTCATGACTTTTGACTGTATATGCTAATTTTTACATTAAGCTTCATTTCTATATTTAGTCAATGCCGGGCTTTTCTGCACTTAGTGTGTAGAACAAACACTGAATGATATTTTTGCTTTCTTTCATAAAATAGAAAATTTTCTTTGGATTTCTTTTGTAAACTGAGAAAGATACTAATATGGGTGTTTTATTAAAACATGAAACAGGTATAGCAAGGTTGCCACCTATGCATCCATATAAACATATGTCAGATCTTGGTAACTGCTAAGCTTCTGTCTCAGTTGGAATTCTGAGGGAGATGGTCTGAAGATCTTTTTCCGTACAGCCAACCTCTTAAAGAATTTCGACTCGCCATGTATTCTGAATGCCTCTTTGTTACACATATGGTATATACTTAAAAACATGCATGCCTTCTTCGGGATTAGAACCCAGGACTTTCAGTACGGCAATCAGTGTCACTAACTACTGTCATGTCAGCTTTAGGAATATATTAACCCTTTCCAGCATGCTACCTTTCAAAGTTGGAATTTCGGAGGGGGGGTAGAAATAGTAGGCAATTTAATCAGGCCTAGAGTAGTACACAGGTAAAATTTTGTAAAGGTAGCACTTACCATTTTAATTCTGTGAGTGTGCTTGAAGCAGGCTCACTTAGTGAATAGAGCTTCGAAAAGAGCTCTGAAGCAAGCATTGCTGGGAAGCGCATAATAGAGTAAAAGATTTTGCGTATGATTAAAAAACAGTAGATTCTAATTACCATAGCAGATAAGCAGTACCCAGGGTGCACCACAATAAGGCCTACTATTCTACACCCCCCCCCAAAAAAAAGCTCTTCATGGTTATATCATGATTACATGTGTATAAATGAAAAATAGTAACTTGGCTATATGATATTTACATTTCATATTTACACTTTCGTATATTTTGTCATGGGGGTACTTTTTAAAGCAAATGACACCACCTTTGAAAGCACAATCCAAAACTGCATGTTTTCCACATATACTGGGATCTGCATCAGATTCATTATCTGAAAAATAATGCATGATTCGATGCATACCAATGCAGATCAGATCATTATCTGAAGAATTATTCATTATCATATCTGTGTAAAATATGATAATATTTTGCACTTTCAATGCTTCAGAAATGGTCAGCCCTCTTCTATTCATTTATAAAATAATTAAAAGTCAGAGAAAATAAACTAATATTATATCTACAATTAAAGAAAATATAGACTATAAAATAAAATTAAAGAAACATCTACAACTACAAGCTATCAAAACGTAGAGCTAACAAAACTTCTTTCAATGAAAGCGAAAGAAAAAAAAAAGAGAACTGCTTTAGTGAAAAGTTAAAGAGCTAACTGATAAAATTACCCCTGACCTTCAGAAAATCACACCAACAACTCCTTATTTGATAACCAAACCTCCCCTCCAAAAACAACAACAACAAAAAAAGGGGGGGGAAATGAAACACAGATGTGCACCTACCTTTCTGTTGTAGATGAGCTCACGGAAGAAAATATTGCAGCGAAACAAAGATACAGTTGTTGATCTGGTCCTGGTGTTTCAGTGAATCCACTCTGGGCACACCAGATGTTTGTCATTTGATTTTAGGCAAGATTTCAAGGTAAAAAGTTAAAACTAATATAAAATAAAGAGATCAGCATACAGCAAAATAAATAAATAAAAATAACATAGAAATTTCTTATCAAACAATTGCTTTTATATCCTAAAAAAAATCTGGGAAAAATGAGGGTCTTTAACTAAACATGGCTAAAATGTATGGACTGATTTGTGTTGTGCTGCCATCTAATACAAATAAAGAAGGTTAAAAGTAACCTATAAAGCCTTTTCCATTCAATTTTTCTGTGTGTACAGAGAGAATTTTTTGGGCACAATAGTGTTCCCCCCCCCATTTGTAAAGGATATATATAGTGGCAAGTAATTCCTCCCCCCATGCAAAGATTAAGATAGTAGTGTACAACTTAGTTTGCCTTAGAGAATGCAGTGTAAAGTATCTTTGTTTTTAATGTTTCACATCAGTTTTGCATATATATGTCTATATTTATGTATGTATCTTTTCCCCCCTCCCAAGCAAGGAGAAGGTGCTCCCTTGACAAGAAAAGGAGCTTGTGCCAATCATGTGCTTGATGTAGCTAATTTTTTTAAGGTAAAATTATTGAGTTTTTAGTTGATAATTGAAATAATTGTTTTCTTATTAAAAGCTATATTTCTATACACACAGTCCTATTATTTTTATTATAAATTTAAATTGGGTTTTATTATGTATCAATTTATATATTTAAAAATATTTTTGTATTACATGCAAATACCATATGCATTGAGTAAATGTAGATTCAATTTTAAAATTTTACTGCATTTGTAATATTTGAAAAGTACTTCAGAATTAACCTTTGATGTGATATGGTTTGAATTACGTTATTACATTCTGGTTTTGTATGCACATGTAGGAATGCACTTGTATGTGAAAAAGGTGCGAATTACTCATTTTATATATTTATGTCATAGATTGACTTTTTAAGAGGGGGATTATCTTACTTTAAAAAGTCAATATAGTCAACTTAAATTGATGCCAAGACTTTTTTATACCTTTAAAACAGAATTCTTAGTTTATTTTTTACCTTCTTTTATAGGGTATTCATGTCACAATTAATGCGAGAATGGAAGAAGATGTTGAACCTTCACTAATCTTGGAAAAGGTTTCTAAGGCCTCCTCTTCTAATTTCAACTTCAAAGATCGGTCTGAACCAGTCGAAAATACTGCTCCTGTTGTAAGTGTTTAGACTTATTTCTAATATAAATTCTTTAAAGAATCTCAGCACTGATTGCTTGGATTTTTTTCAAAATAATAACAGAATTCTGTGTTGTACCTGTTGTGATTAAATTTATAAAATGTGTATTTAAACACAAAAGACTAACTTCTGAGTATTTGTCATTATAATTAATTCATCTTCTCTATCCATTTACAAGTATGTGTTGCACATGTATGCATAAAGAAAATCAGAGGCAAAGGTGGTAAATTTTATAAAATGAGAATATGTAATGAATGAAGGATAAAATAGTATTCTAAAAAAAAAAAAAAAAAAAAAAAAAAAAAAAAAAATAGTGAAATAGTATTAGGAAAAGAAATAAAGCATTTTATATTTTAAAATTAGGGAAATTTCAACCTTAGAGTGACACTGATTTAGGCTGTAAATATGTGTTTCAAGGTAACTGGCATGAACTTCTTCAAAGAGCAAAAATACCTGGTCAGAATGGGTATTTTTTTGGGGGGGGATGTGCATGTGTGCTTTTTATTATCCGCAACCACAAGCAAACTTTTTAGTGACTTTGTAAATTGGGAAAAAGCTTTGGTAATTTTTGGTGGCTTGTAAGTAGTGTTTTATTCATTAATGAAATTTAAAAAAAATTATCAGAAAAATAGAAATTTCATGAAAAAAATAAAGATCTATACGGTCGATATTTACATTTCAACAGCCAGTAAAATTATGGTTAAATTTAAATTATGTAAAATTGTGTATTTGAGCATGTACGAGGGTTTCCCCCCCCCAACCTCCACACAATATGATATCCAGGCAGGTGGTTGGTGTGCATAGTAGGCGACTGCGCATCTCCCCTTCCACGTGCTCTGCCACTGGAAATTTAATTCTGGAAGTTTAACACACTATTTCCTGTTGAGTTGCAGTCGCGTAAACATGGCTTTCGATATTGATTTTTCCACCAAGTGTGAATTGTGAGCTGTTATTCATTTCTTGCAAGCAGAGAAGAGAACAGTGCACCAGAAATTCATCGAAAAATGAGTGTATGGAGACAACTTTATGGGTAATAGCGTTGTTCGTGAATGGTGTTGAAAATTTAAAGATTAAGTGAATTATCGATGAAATTTCTGGAAGTTTCCAAGATCTTCCCTGTACTCTATCTTTACTGAACAGTTCTGCTACAGAAAAGTTTGCGTTTGCTGCATCCCACAGATGTTGACTGACGACCACAAAACTCGCTGAATGGCTGCAGCATTGGAGTTTCTTGACCATTAAAATACTGATGGAAAGGACTTTTTGAAATCCATTGTAACAGGTGATGAGACATGGGTTCAAAATGACATACTAGAAACAAAACGACAATCACAACAGCGGATGCACACAAATTCTCCAAAGAGACCCACAAAATTCAAACAAATCTTCAACAACCGTAAGGTTATGGCAACTGTTTTTTGAGACCAAAAAGGTGTGTTGCTTATGGAAGTTATGCAGCCTGGAACAACAATTAATGCAGATTCACATCGTGGAACTTAGCAATGCTTATGGAGAGCTATTCAAAACAAACGAAGAGACCTGCTGACTTCTGGAATTGTTCTGATTCACGACAATGCCTGTCCTTACAGTGCTTGTGTAGCCCAATGGCTCCTTCAGCAATTTCATTGGTACATTTTCGAACACCCACCATGTAGTCCTGACTTAGCGTGGAGTGACTTTCATCTTTTCCCTGAACTAAAGCAGTGGCTTTGGGCGCAGTGCTTCCAAAATAACGTGTAACTCGAAGGAACAGTCACAACTCCCTTCCAATCATTGGCGGGAACATTTTATGAAGAGGGTATTGCAAAGCTTGTTCACAGACATGACAAATGCCTCAGTCGTCAAGCTGATTATGTAGAGAAATAACCTGTATTATATATTACTTTCGGTAATAAAATCTCTTTTGTATATTCCTTTTCTTTATAGCCCATCGGAGGTTAAAAAAATAGCCTATATGTGGTATATGCATGTTATGGTTGGCTGGTGTTGCATGCATACTTAAAAATATATAAGGATATCAACAATTCTTTCTTTGTACACAGCAATCCTCGCATACACACTTTATTCTGTAGAAAGAACAGTGATAATTGCGAATCTGCACTACTATTTATCAATTGCAAAAGGGAACACACAGCATTCTCTTGTTCATGTCCAAAAGGAAAGCTGAGAAGAAAGTGAAGTCATTAAAAATGGCAGGAAACATTTATGGAAGCCAGGAAAATGGTGAAAAGTGCACAGCCATATCCTAACATCTCATTTGTGGCTCCTGTAATGTCAGTGGAATACAAAATCATGCTAAATGTCTAACCAATAAAAATAAAGGTACTTTCTGATTATCTGCACTGCTACCAAAAAATTCATGAACTCATTACAAACTTTGGAGAGCATTTGTGAAATTTTCCCTGACTATTATTTCATTAAGTTAATGGACAACAGGCAACAGCCATTTTCAAAATGGCAGCGCACTAAGAATTCCATACAAGAACAATTAAGATCTATTAAAAAAATAATAAGTAAACTAAAATTGTAACTTTAATTTGTAATAGACATTTAACTCTTCTTTTTAATTTAGTTATAGCTTTCTCTCCTAAAAATAGTAATTACTTATGGTGAACCATTCTAAACTGTGTCATCTGAAAATTAATCATTGTCATATGATTCTTGCATGATGCTAATGATATAAGTATTAACATAACGCTTCAGCCAATCGTAATATTAAAATTTCTGAACTGTAACTTAGAATAGGCAGTAAAGTGAAAGTTGTGTCTGGATCATTCTCAGCCTAGCTTTTGAAGCATAATTTAGATTTATTTTGTTGCTTCTGTGACCTACAAGCATGCTGTCTGTTTCTTTCTTCAAATATTCTTGAAAGATTAAAAGTATGAATGTAACTCATTAAGGAAAGCTGTCATTGCGTGCCAGTTAAACACGTCTGTACTAAAAAAAGTAATTTATAAAGAATAAAAAGTATTCAAGCTGCCACAATTGCTATAAATTCATGAACTGGTTTCATTATTAGCAATTATGCCATTAACTTCGAAGTCATCACACATATATATACTATATTGTTACAAATATTGTATTTAGTTAGCTATTTTTAGTAGAATTATGATTAAAATTGTTTTATTTCTCTGTACAATGCAATGCATGATAAATTTTCAGAGAAAACTATGCCGTAAAAATATGAGAGCACCTGTGTTTAACATTGAATAAATAAATGGATATCTCTTTTATTTGTATTGAAATTGAATAAATATAATTGACTACTGTGTTAGCTGTAACCGTAATTCCATCCTCTTGTTGGTTTCCAGAAATCTTGAGAAGCAAAGAAATTACTAGAACTCTTGCGCGACTGATTGAAAGCTTTAAAAAGCCAGAGAGAGACATCTCAGCTCCAGTTGTTTAGTTAGCTGCTGTTGTTATTGTTGATCAGATTAGCTTTCTTTGTGCTGTGCTTTGCATTCTATTTAACATTTTTATGTGTTACTGCGTGATATTGTGGACACTTGTACAAACATTTCTGAGAAAAATTCCACTGTTCTGTTATATTTCTTTTGATAAGAATAAATTTTATTAACCTTTTATTGGACTTGTGCATTCAATCAGTTACAAACCCGTACGCACACAGCAATATATATATATATATTGCTGTGTGCTCATATATATATATATATGAGTGTGCGTGTTGAGAAATAAGTTATTTTCATATAAATTTTACTTTTCTCTATGACTAAATATGTTTTGATGCATTAATATAAATGTTTTAAAATCTTTACTTGTAATAAAAATTAATGCAAATCCTAAAGTAAAATTTTATTCATAAATAGATTAATAAAAATACAAAATAATGTGTAATTTTTACAAAATTTAGGATTAATACTTATGCAGATGAGATCTTCTAAAGAAATTTTGCATTGATGATAATTATTTTCCACTGATAATTTATTATTATTAAAGGAACTTTTTGTATCATGATAAGTCTGAATCTCTGAACTGCTTTATGCAGTATCATATTTTTGTTTTGCAAAGTATGATACTGATTTGTTTGTATTGTTTATACTTTAGGCAGTATCATATTTTGTTTTGCAATAAAATTCTGTGATGTATCCAATAAAAGTGTTTATCATATTTATTGTTATTTATTATTTTTTGTTAATTTCCATTTAAGCATAAGCTAAATCTCTTTGCAACAGAAGTATCATAAATATGAAAATTTTACAGTATAAAAAATATGAATTTGAAATTAGAAAGGCAGTGTGACTATTACTGCATTCTGAACAGAAATGACATTTTAGTAGTTCTCGATATCTGTATTTACATAATTCTCGATATCCATTGATTATAGTCTCAATAGTCCAATTTTTATTGTGGAACAGTTGCCTAGATTATCAGTTAATTTAAAAATGTATGTATGTATTTCTAATTTATATAAAGCATTTTATTTGTTACAGGGTAGTGTATACAAAAGAATTATGCCAACTAGAGAAATAAATCCAGCAGAAATTGAAAAGTTTTGGATGAAAGAGCAGGTATTGTATTTCTAATACCATTATTTGTAAGTTTTGAACAGATCAGAATCCATTATCGTTATAGGGTGGTACAGATAAAAGTAGCTTGGAGAGCACACAGTTCAAGTGAAAATGAAGGTGATAAAGGCATGCAAAAGATGCTGAGAGTGTGAGCATTTATATCTTTGCATTTTTAGATCATGAATACCAGGTTGTTAAAGGCCACAGCCTACCTGGTGAGATAGGATATAGTAAATTGTTCTACTATGACTCTTGAAGGGTGTAAGGATTGGTGCAATGCACTTTTTTAGTGCCTCTCCCCTCCACACAAAATAATAATAATGTACTGAAAAGTTCAGAAATTTAAATGGACAGCTGGCAACAAGTTAGCCATCGCCTCCACAGATAATCCTGTCATATCAAATGCTTTGAGGATGTGATCCAATGAATTGTAAGCTATATAGGCTGTTGCTGTATCCTGTTAGAAGTAATTGTTTGTAAGTTCCTCATTTATTAATTGATTAGCAAATAAATGCTATTTATTTGTATTTACATAGCTACTTTTATTTTATCACCATGTGTAACTTAGAACTTTTGTGTGCTTTTTATTTTATTTAAGTGTTAATTTTAAGTATGAATTTTAACAGGCTCTGTTAATGCAACACATATTTAATGAAATTTTCTAAATTTCTGTTGCACATATTTGCATGTATAGGAGGAAGAAAAAAAAAGGATTTTTGAGGAAAAAAAGAAGGCTGAAGAGGAAAGGAAAAAATTAGAGGAGGAAAGGAAAGAACGGGAGGTAAATTATTACTGACTGCATAGTTTTCAGTACTGAATATTAACTGATTTTTTTTTTTTTTTTTTTTTTTTTTTTTTTTTTTTTTTTAGTGGGGGGATAATGTTAATGTCTTTTTGGCCATTGCTCATGACTATGCATGCTGAGCTATCATCTTTTTCATATCCTGCCCTCATATCAAGTATACATATTTATTTTAGATTATTATAATCTGCTATAGTTTTATCTATGAATTATATTTCTTCCTCAAATGGTTAATCAGTATTATCTTCTTAAATTAATCATATGTTATATATATTACACAGTTTCCTTTGAACCAATTTCAGTGTGTATTATTACATTTTGTTTATGTTTATCATTGCTGTCTTTCTTAATGTACACTTTCATGAAAATTAGCATGCTGCAGATGTTCAGCTGTAAGAAAAGTCACATAACTTTGGTTTCATTCTTAGTAAATAACAAAGCCCACAGTTATATAAGAAATGTCATAAAATTTGCATGCAAATATGCATTACATGTAATATCATACCTCAAATATCATAGTTAAGTGAAACAAGTGGTCTATAATACCACTTGAAAAACTTAACAAATAATAAATATCACATCCATATGTGGAAACATATGGCAAAACTAGACATGCACTATTTATATAGGGGTATATATATATATATATATATATAAAAAAAAAAAAAAAAAAAAAAAAAAAAAAAAAAAAAAAGAATTGCTACACAAATAATTGAAAAATTATTTGATAATGGAAATTTGGCATTAGTAAACACTCTTTAAATTTGATTTAATATATAATGACTGTTTTTTTAATGGACCTTTCTCATCATATCTACCATATATTTCTGTATATAAGCTGAAAGCACATTTTTCTTTACAAATTTGTCCAAAATTCAAAGTCTATATGTAACCTAAAATAAAAATAAAAAATAAAAATAAAAAAATCTTGAACATTCAAGCATGTTGAATGAGGGTGAAAATGTAGCCAAGCAAGTAAAGTGGGTGGAATATTTTCCAATCAAATCACTGTAAAGTAAAACACCAGATGTCAACAACAATAGTTTTAATTCTGGTAACCCTATCTGAAGCTAGTACATTTCCCCCTTCATTTGTTGTCTTGTATATTCTTCTTCTTCTGAGGCATTACAGTCTACTGCTGGCCAAGGCCGTCTCAATCAGTCTACGTCATCTGGACCTATTTATGACAATACTTCTCCAGTCTGCCCTATGTATGGTATTAATGTCATCCTCAACAGCATCAAGCCACCTAATTGGTGGCCTTTCTCACTTTCTAGCTCGCATAGGTTTGATAAGCGTGAGTTGTTTTACTGGGTTTGTGTCTTCATTTCTGTATAAATGACCCAGCTTTTATCATGTGGCTTTTTATGACCTTGAGATCAGGCTGTCTAAATTTTTGGTAGATTTCATGATTATACATTGATCTCCAAACACCATTTTCACAAACAGTGGCAGATATTTTTCTTAGTGTTACGTTCAAAGATCAGTAGTTTAGTTTAAATTAGTTTAGTCATTGTGCAGCACTCGCAGCCATATGTTATGATGGGGTCATCTTGTATATGATCTATAGTATTTGTGCTGTATATGATAGTATTTGTGCTGTCTTATTTTCTGTGCCATTTTATTTTTTGTAAAAGATATGCTGGAAGTGAAATTCTTACAAGGCAAATTTCATGCTACTTATGATCATGTTTGCTGAAAATTCTAACAGTATGGCTGCTGGAAAAAAGAAAAAAAAAATATGTAAAACAATTTCAAGAGTGGAGAGTGCTAGGTGCAAATTTTGCCAACATCAAATTTTTCATTTTGGCAAAGATGCAACAAACCAGCATTAGAAACAGTTCTTCAAAAAAAGGGGGGAAAACTCATTTTCATAAAACAAATAACACATTTCTTTTAAAATTAATGTAAACTTAAGAAAGATAAACTAAAGAAATTAAAAAAAAGTGCAATATTTGATATTGCTTGTCCCTGGCTGGAAAAGTACTTACATTTTTTTGCGAGATTAGTGGATCTGTATGTAAACCAACCCCCATATTTTAGCTTCAGAGAAAGCTCCAAAAATTCTTCGCTAGTACATGAAAATATATGATATTTTAGTGTTATATTTTTTTGAGGGGGTTGCATGTTTTATTTGCTAGAGATAATACATACACTTGTGTAGTATTTCTAATAGACTTTTTTCGTTTATATGTATGTTCATTTTTTTTTTAAATTTATTTATTTATTTATTTATTTATTTTTTATTTATTATTCTTTTTTTAAGTTACGTGATTCATCAGCTAGAGAAGAATGGGTAAAAGAAAGATCTAGATCTATTAATCAGATGAAAGAGGCTGAAAAGAATGCTGATAATAACGCAAGAAGTATAGTTCAAGAAAAAATGCAGTGGGTGAGAAAAATTCGAAAAAAAAAAGCTTTTTAAAATTATTTCCTTTTTAAACTAGACTGCAATTGTTCATAAAAATATCAATTTCTATATAGGAGAAGCAGTTAGAAGATGATGCCAAAGAAGAAAAAGAAAGAAGAATGAGAAGTGAAAGTCTAAGAAGAGAAAGGAGTTATGTAAGTGTAAATCTATGATTTTTTTAATTGGAACTGTAATTTAATGTATACATGTATGTACACTGCACCAAAAAAAATGTGACAGTTCTGTATCTCCCGTTCCTCTGGGCCAATTGGCAAAATATAAATTGCGTCTTTCATGTCTCGTTTGGTTTGGTTTATATAATTATTTCAACGCGCACTAGGGCTATCTGCCTAAAGGGAGGGGTGCCTTCGTGGAGGACTTTCTAAGGGAAACTGGCTCATATAAACGTTACACATGAAGAAAACCACAAAAACGGCCATGCAGCCAGCCCGTTCGCGGAATTCGAACCTTGAACAGAATTACCAGTGTTCAGCGACTTTACCACTCAGCCGCTTTTATGTCTCGAAAGCCCGACTTAGGATATATATTAGGTTTATATAAGCATTGTTCTAACATAGGTATTTTGTGGTATTTGGTACAAAATCGGACTTTTTCTGAAATAACATACCAATTTTTTTCCCATATTTTGATTCTATGACTCAGATTATGCCTAGATATTAAATTTTGTAAAATTTGGTGCAAAATTTACGGAGAAATTCAAAAATATATCTTGGCGCAATTTTTTCAGGTCGCACCAAGAATAATTCACTTGGTAAATTTCTTAATATATGGCAACCTATTTTCCGTACCCTTCCATTATGCCGGAACCGAAAAAAAGACACCTCTTTCCTATCTTTTTATATTGTAGATGAGTGAGAAAAAAGTCAATTTGTTCTTACTTTCAAATAATTTTCACAAAGTGCGTAAACCACATTTTCGTTATTATCGCTTTCAGGAAATATGCCAATATATAAATTCACGTACATCTTCGAAAATTTTGAATAAAAAGGTCTAATTTTTTGCAGGTATGCTTAAAAATGCATCTACTTTAAGATGATCGTAAAAATTTTATAGTTTATAATTGAAAATGTTTTTCAAAAAATTTAGAGAAATTATTTAAAAATACAAATTTTAAAATAAATCTTTAAAAATGGGTGAATTTTATTTCGAATGAACCTAAATTTCGAACTGTGTAAAAAGGAATCAAATAAGTTAAATAAAAAAAGGGATATTAATGAATACATACCAAACTGAATTAACATTGAGGAGCTAAAATTTTGAGAGCTAATTTTTTAAAACTACTCGTGCGATTTTTACAAAACTTGGTAGTCTGTCATAATTTGAGTCATAGAATCGAAATATGGAAAAAAATTGGCATGTCATTTCGGAAAAAGTCTGATTTTGTGTCAAATACCTATGTTAGAACAGTGCTATAGATAAATCTAATACATATCCTAAGTCACGCTTTAGAACTGTCCCATTTTTTTTTCACAGTGTATATCTACAGAAAATTAGTGTGATACAAGATAAGCTAATCATAAAAAAAAAAAAAAAAAAAAAACTTACAACTTTAAATTTTTAAAAGAATAATGAATTTGTTCTTTGCATGCCAGGTTCTGGAACTTGTATTATCCTAATGCTTGTGCTAGGAAAGATTTGTTGAATATTAACCAGTTCATTAATTTAAGAGATTTAATTCAAATGACTGTTTATAATATGTTACAAAGAACATTTTTTTTTTTTTTTTTAACATGGTAATTACAGAACTTTATAACTGAACAAGATATTATGTCTGTCAGTGAAATTAGAGAAACTGTTAGCACAAAAAAACTAAGCAACTTAAACAAGATCATTGAAAGACATGTTTAATAAAGCAGACAAATAAATATTGAGCCTCATTTAAAAAAAAAATTTGATTTATCTAAGGTTATTAATGCTTTCATAAACAACTATTTCATGTTTTTAATTTTGATTTCTACATGTCATCTTATTAGATTTAAACTGATGATATCAAATTCAGTCATGGAAGGTCTAACGAGTCCAGTACTGTATTTCCTAACTTCATTATCTGTTATTTTCTTTAATTAGGCACTTAAGCCCAAACACCAGTTTTTTTTTCCCATGGATTTTTAACTTTCTTCCTCTCTTTAACATATCAGCCAGACTTTCTTTCCCAGGATTGCAGGAAAGAGAGAATGTTTTTATTTGTATTCCCATTATTGCTCAGTTTTGAATGAATAGCTGCCATTTTTTCAAAACGCCCTTTATCCAATGTAATAATGCAGAAGAATGTCTAAAAATAATGCATTCATCTTTAGTCTTTTTCTTAACTGTTGTGTGATATCTGAAATTAATTTTGCTTTGATGAGTGGTTATGCCAGCTCCACTCTTGGAAAAGATAGTTTCTTTAGTGAAACTACTCTATTTGGAAATTACAAAACTACTTAGTACTTTACCATCCTCCATGTTAAATCACAGGTGCACGTGTTGTTTGCTTTCATCTGCGAAACAATGCATTTGAACATCCCAGCTATTCAACCTTACTGTTGTTTCAGAAAAACTGTTGGGGATTTTTATATCCTTAATAATTGATATTTTGTCAGACTATTTTTTCATTTGATTTTGAAAGTCTGATCGCAATGGATTATCCCAATCTATACCTAGTTGCCATACTTCCTGCATTAGCACTTTTTTTTGGCCACATCCTGTGTGGAACAATGTAGCAATGTTAACATAGCATTTCTTATGGCTAGCATACCCTTAAGGGCTCACTTTTTGTGAGTACAGGTATGGCAACCCTGAGATACTTTGGCGCCTCAAGGTATCACCCTCTTGGTGAGATGAGGGTCATGATCCTGAAGCTCTGGTGATCTTTCTTCCTTACTTTTTCTTCTCTCCTTATCTATACTATTTCCATTTTTCCACCCATGTGGTTTTTCCTTTTCGGATATTGGGGCTCAAAAGGAAATTCTACTGCTTTTCTTAGTGTCTAGTTTCTCAGAGAGAAAAACTGCCTACACATTTGCCATGCGTTGTGACCCATAAGGCTGGAAAGGAGGGGCCTGGTAGTTGAGGACCAAGGTACTATCCCCAACACACTGCTTTTGCCTCTGCTTCAGATTGAAACCAGAGGCACTTAGCTCTCAAATTCATACCCGCATCCTGAAAAATATTTACAGCATCTACAGAGAATCGGTATGCATCTTCTACAGTTTTATCTCCATAAAATAAATCATCAACGGAAAGAGAAGAATTAAGCATTTTAAAATTCTCGGGGTGGTCCCCTTTATAACTTGAAACATGATATTTTATTGTAGAAGCCAACAGAAAAGGACTAACCGCCGCCCTGAACGGCACCCAACACATGTGCATGATATTACATGATTGGGGATCATTCCTCTCCTCAAAAAAGAAATCTTAAGTAATCCCTGTCTTCTTCTGCAATGCCAATAATTAAAAATGCCTTTTCTGTGTCCCTACAAAATGCTATTTCAGGTTCATGAAACCTCAGGATCACATCAGGAACTTTCGAATCCAGATTTTGACCAGTTTCTAGACGTTTATTTATTGATTTGAATTTTCCTGTCTTCATTTATAACAAAAGAAGCATTGAAAACTACACGAACACTGGTAGTCTCAGAATCATGTATTACAGCAATGGTTGAGGGTGTGGCATATAATATTGTGAAAATTTGATTTTGATTTCATTAGGGCATTCTTCGAATATTTTTTTCCTTAACTGCTCTTCAATAATTTCCTTATATTCTTGCAATATTTCTGGAGTTTTCTGTAATTTTTTGTTTTAAAAGTTCAGACTGCCATTTTGCGATGTCAAAGTTATTTTTTAATTCTTTGGTAGCAGATTTCCACAATAGTTTACATTCATATCGTCCGTTTTTAAACTGTATATCTCTTTAAAAATGGCTAATTAGGTCATTATCAGTTTGATTAATTTCATTTTTGCCTTCATTTATTATTCCCTTTAATGAACCTGCCAAAGCACGCTTAAATTATCTGACGCCGAGGCATTCCCTACCATTACTGTGAAGTACTTTGAATCATTACCTTTCATTCGCTTTTTTTATCCCCCACTAACAGCCATCCAAAAATGGAATTTAGGGCTTAGAGATGTTTATGCATTTTTGACCTTGTCAACACATCCCAGAATTGGTGGGTGCCAACTAATATTCCCACATGTTGTAATTCTTCATTCTTGTTTACACTTAGATCTGCTAAATGTAAACCTAAACGCTTCATTTTTTTCGAGCATGTTATGTCTGGGATTCTTTATGGGACAAGCTGATATTGTATTAGTCACTAGGCATTTCAATTTTATTTTATTCTTCTGATTTCTATCTCATAATTCAATTATGACACAGGATAATTCTCAATTATTGGTTTCTGTGTTCCAATCAGAAAAAAAAAACAGTGATTTTGCATTTCAGATAGGTTCTAACTTTAAAGATTTCACTAAGGTATCTTTAATAAATTATCTTTCACTACCTTGATCAAGAAGAATATGAACAACTTTAGTTTTGTTTTTGTTGCAAGCCAAAACAGTAAATGTTTGTAATAAAGTATTTTTCGAAATGGAAATATTACACTGAGAAACCAAAGTGTTAGTATTAACATTTGAAATAAAAGGTTCCTTCTTCAAATTCATGGCAATTGATTCATTTTCAGATAAATTACATAAATTTGATCTTTTCTCATTACCTTTCAAACAGATAAATTCATGATGATTTTTGCTGTTACATTTACTACATACATTAGCTCTTCAAAAGCAACTCAAATAAAATTTCTTTAAGCATTTAAAACATCCATTTTGCACTTTGAGAATATTTATATTCTCAGTTACCCCTTTACAGCATTTAAAAGAATCGTGGTGTTTCTCACAGAAGATGTATACTGGCTGTGCTGTAGTGTTAATATTTCCACATGTTGTAATTCTTCCTTGATATTTCTGTTGTGTCTTTTATTTTTTCTGATTATAATAATTAGTAAATGTTTTATTTTCACCACAAGCCACTTTTGCAACATTCAACCTCCTTTAAAAATAAAATGAATTTAAAAATGTCAACATCGCCTTCATCCCTTTGCCTGTTAAATTCTAAAATAAGATCGTGGGACAAGATTTTTTGCAAAATAGGCATTAATGAATGTCCGAAAGAACTTGATGTAACATTTATCACTTCGAATAGAGAATTTCGAATAGAGATCTCAAGCGCATCATAAATTCGGCATAATGCTGAAACATTAGAAGAATTTTTTACTTCTTCCAAATTTAGTGTTTTATTCATAAAGGAATTTATAATAACATCTATTTTCCCGAACCTATCTTTCAGAATTTTTATGCAGTTGTCATAATAATTGTTATTTAATTTCGAATCCTGAAACAACATTGGCAGCTTGACAGCTTAAGGTTTTAAGATATGCGAATTTTTCAACTTTCAAAATGCTTTTGTTTTTATCTGTCTTACTTTAGAAACTGTTCCATAATTTTTGCCAATGTTTCAGATCTTCAAAACATTTCTCAATTACTAACTTTAACTGAACATTGATTTCTTCATTTTTCTCTTAAAGACACATGCATACTTTGTGGTTATGCGAATCACTTGAAGCTGACTCAATCTTAGTTTTGCTTTTGAGGTAACCTAATATTCTACTTAATTATTTGAAACATTTTGCTTTATATTCCTGAGTCACCATTATCTCTTTTTCTAGCTGATCAATTGCAATAGAAGTTTTGATTTCACTGTTGAGAGCTTTCAATTCATTATTTCTTTCTACCAAGAGCTCGTAATCATCTCTTAAATCCTGCTCATCAAGCTCCTCTCCTGACTTGCAAGTTCTAGCACTGCCATTTTTTTAATACTATATAACAGAATATATCCAAGGATCAACAATAAATATAAAATGAGGAGTTAGAATTTTTCCTCGCAGGCATGATTTAGTAATACAAAAAGTTATGGTTTAATCATCTCAGATATTCCATCAACAATGCACCATATGAAACTAATACGAAAGTTGTAACTATCATCATTTGATTTCATTCTTTCGGTGGTTCAGGTTTTTATGTAATAGGCGATAAAAGGCTCAGTCTAAAAAACACAGCAACAACTAATTTATTTACAAATTACTGAAATAGAGCATAATATTGTTTTGATAGTAATTGTTAGGGCCAGCAACTCCCTTACAAAACATTAACTCTAATTCGAAGAAAAAAGGAAGGTGGAGTGTCCTGAGTAGGCATTTTGCAACAATATTTTGTGTCTATTTAAAAAAGCAAAAAAATATGTAATGTTTTTATTAGAAATATTGTGAATTAAATGCATTTTTATTTAAATTAATCAGATAAAGTAAAAATACTATTCTTAAGATCTGCATCTATTGCTTTTAAATAGTTTGTTAATTTAACAGATTAAATATGAAAGAATAATATCTAACATTTTTCAGAAAGGGCAGCAGACTGGAATGAAAAGTAAAAAATGTTTTGAGACTAAAAAAGGCCTGTCTATACGTAGCGATTTTCTGAGATAGCTCGCCTGTCTACACGGAACGATTTTCTCGTTAGTACAGGAATTCACTCAGCCAATCACTGTGAAAGGAAGTGTTCCCGCCCTCTATAGCGTCACACTGTCTGCAATTTGTAAACAAAGCTTACGGTGTTGTCAAATAGTCAAAATAATGGATGACTATTTTAAATTGCTACTATAGATACAGCAATTTTGAACATAGCTATTGCTACAGAAGGGGGAAAAATGCGTTTGGACCAGAAATTGGGTCAAACGAGGAGAAATTCATAGTGCCTTCATAATACCCTGCTCCAGGAGTTGCGTATTAAAGATGCGGTACAATTCGGAAAGTATTTACGAAAGATGCCGCAAGATTTTGATTTTTTGCTAAATTTAGTTTGCAGGAAAATTTAAAAAAAATATATGCTTTTCCTTTGTATACTGAGTACACAGATTACTCCTTTTTTTATTTTATTTATTTATTTTTAAATTTCACTTTCTGACATTCCTATTTGTGCATTTAAATCTTGAAATAATAAAATAACCATCTTTCAGAAAAAATAAGAACTACTGTGTTTTAAATCGAAAATTTTATTAATGAATAAATAGGCAATAATGTCATGAATATCAAACCAATATGAGTAAAAAGTAGTAATCAAAAAATAAAGATTACTACATTAAAAAGCAACAGTGTAATTTGAGTGCAAAAATTTTAAATAAGAAATATCATAAAGGTGCAAAGTCTTAAGTAGTGTATTTATTGAACATTAAAAAACTAATATCAGCATAATTAAATAACTAATACAGTCTGAAAACTATGATCATATGACTCTATCAGTTAATCAGCGAATAAAATTTAGCAATATTGTATTAAATTGGGCTGTAATTTGCTTTCGCAAAACTCAATTAACACAAAACTGAGTTTGTGACTTTTTTTTTACCAGTAGATCTAAAACACGTGCCAACGGCCATTCGAAAAATAAAAAGAAAGACTTTAAAATTCAATAAACACCCCACCCGTAGGCGAAAAAATAAAACGTGACTTTTAAGTCATGCAGTTCGAATTTAGAGATGGAGAAACTAAATTAAAAAGTTCTTCCAGGTGCAGAAAGTCCAAAATTAATGTGGAAGATCGAACCCACGATCTCGATGCACGGAGAAAACATAGTCTACTCTTTACCACTGGGCTATAATCGCTCGTGCAGGAGATGTCGGAAAAGCTATGTACTTTGTCACCTGATTAACTCCCATTTTCGGCAAAGTCAATTGAGTCTCTGTGCTGCTTTATTCTCGACTGGAGATTTTGCTTTTTTGAATTTTTTCAATAAGTGTGACCACAGTTTCAAGTAGTTTCTGAATATTTTCATCTAGTACCCATGACATGGCATCATTAATAGTTTTTGGAACTTTTCTTGGGGAAGTTAAAATAATTTTCACCCTGAATAGAAAATATTTGAATATATAAAGTAATGGGGAAGACAAAGCTTACCAAAATAAGAGAATCCCTTAATTTTTTATTTTTAAAATTTACATTACTTGTGTCCACAACACAACATTTTCTTTATAGAAATATATTAATTGAGTTTTGCTCCAACGAAATGCAGCCATGTTTATTATTCCAAATGAGGCGAAAAGCACGTGATCACTCAAAGCAATCTTATTGGCTAGAGACTCCGATTTTATCGTACGCTAGTAAGCAGTGAACACCAGTTCTGAAATCGTGGCAGAGAACATGACCGATTTTTGCCGCATGCGCAGATCCTTAAAATTGTTGTTCTACGAGAAAGTCGGCCGAGAAAATCGCTATGTGTAGACGGGCCTTAATAGTCGTTTTGGTCTTTAAAAAAATGATATTTTAAATTTTAGTTTCTCAGCAACAAAACGTTCTTTATAAGCAAAATGATATGCTAATACAAAAAAGTTGTTGGTGTGGAAATATTAAATGCGTTAATTTAATTAATTGTGTAGGCTTTATTTCACTTAAAAATCTTTTAATTTATCCCGAAAAGGTGTTTAAGTAATATACTTTTTTAATAATCTGTAAATGACACCCAGATGGTATAGTAATTAGGGAAGCCTGACTGCGATACCGAAGGGCCTGGTTTCGAATCCCGGAGAAGGCATGGTTGTAACTGTCCATTTCCTTCATAGGAGGTGATGGTGGCCCACCTTTTAGGTGCCTCCATAATAAAGAGACCACCACATCTGACCTTGAGTAGATTAATGGACTGGCTTACACTGTAACTGTTCACAATCTGCCATTAGGGGGAAAAAAAAAAAATCTACAAATAATTCATATAAATGGGAATAATTTTTTGTAATAATTTTTGGTTTTGTAGGAAGCTCAAACATTAATATCTCAACGAAAAATTAATGCACGGGCCATATTTGAACAAAATACGTGTGCAGGACAGATGTCAAGTGTTCAGGCATCTAGGCAGCCAAAAATTCTTCAAGAATTTGAAGAGAACCAAGCAAGAATAGGAAATCAACACCATAACCAGTATCTTTCTCAAAACATTCATTCTCCGGAATATCAAGAGCCCGTAAAGCTTGAAAAAGAGCCAGAAAGTGATACAAGAGCATCTGTTTCACCTCCTGAAGAATTTAATTACACACGTAATTTATTAAAGGAAGGTTTACCTCCTCGGCAAGATTCTGAGATGGAAGCAAATGCTGAAGAGGAGCAAAACTGGGATGGTAATTTGGTTTTTTTCAAATTCTTAGCTTTCGACATGATATGTGAGTACATTGTCATTTCCTGTGATAATATATCTTAAAATAAATTAAAGAGACAAAACAGTCCTTTATATGCAACCTTCTGAGCATTTTTTGTAGAATGAATTTGTAATTAAATTAAAGAACAAAAATATCTTTGATCTTCAGTGATTTAGATAATTTGCTAAAAAAACAGAAAATATTTAGCAAGCAGGCTTTACCATGATTACTTTTCTCTTTCTAGATCCTGGTATTATTTTGGTGTGTATATATGGCACAGTTAAGTACAGTAGACTTTATTTGTTAGCGAAGAGCTTCTTAACTTCATCACTGTCACCGTGTTTTCCTTTTTTGATGCATTTTTTTTAAAGTTTTTTGAAAAAAAAACATAGTGCTAAGTAAGCTCACATCCCCCCTTTTTTTTTAAAAAAAAATATATGCAACAGAATTTTAAATAGTGGTCTGTGAAGCAAACATAATAACATGCATCGTAGCAATAACTTACGGATGTTGGCACTATTTACATCTATATTAATTAAGTCATCGTACTTGTAATTTAAAGTTACATGATTTAAATGGCTTTTATCTATTGCCTAATCTTTATGAAATCTGCTGTTGCAACAAGACCTGCTTTAATATCTCTTTCTTGTGAAATTCATCAAATAATCATATTTTGTTGTCCGCGACTTTTATGTCATAATATTGGACAGGAGATTATGCTTCCTATCTGAGATTTTGCCCATAAATCTTTTCCTATATTGATTTTCATCAAATCCCATGCTACTATGGGATGCTTAGGGCATCTGTGGTAATCTCTACAGTTTTTTGAAGTGATATAATTATTTGCTATGCTGCTACTGGATGTTTAGAGAGAACTGTATATTAAAGAGGAAGGGGTTAAGTTTCCATAAGTACATTATTTTTTTTTACAGATTTTTGTTTTATTTTCTATCTGCATCGTTTCTGCTTCCTTTTATGTTAAGAATTTCCTATACTTGGTAATTTTTGCATTGAAAGTAATTATCTATAACTTACATTAGAGATAAAATAATACTGAATATAACAAATGTAATGTTATTTCATAACTTCTTACTGAATAATTTTGTAAAGTAATATCTTATGGCAGTGGTCTTAAAGTGGTGGCCTACAGACTACAAGCTATCCCCAAAGCAGTTTTATGCAGCCCATTTCAGTTATGTATTTGTTTTAATATAGTGCTTATGGATTTTGATATAACATAAATTTGTTGAGCAGTGGAACTCAAAACAGTGTTTATTAAGAAAATAGAAAAGAACTAACAAATATTTCAGCAGTCATTGCATTACAATTGATTCAAAGCTATTGCCAGCGCACAACCAAAAGTACATTGTGTAATGTATCTATAACAATGCTCTGACAAACTCACAAAAGAAGCTTAAAAAAGGACATAATCATCACATGTCATGGCTTGTGTTTGCATCATTACTAGTGAATGAAAATGAAATAAAATGGATAGATTTATGATGTCAATTATATTATAAAAATTATAGACTTTGTATGCTTGCAAGCCAGCTCGCGTGACTAGACTAAAGTGTGGAACGTTTGTATGATTGATAAATTTATTTACCAACCAAAAGTTGATAAAAACTTTTATGTACTTTCCCCTCCCACTGAGTTGGTATTTTTATGTTCCTTGAGAAGTTACTAGTTGGTTGAAAAATAAGCAAGTCTTGACAAAATGGCCCAATTGACTAATGAGCATTTACAATCCAGGATCCCTATTCTATGCCCCAAGAGTTTTCTTCAATTTATTCATTGCTACCAATGAAAACCAGATTTATCCAGTATTGCATGTTCTGCAGTATGGAATTGGTAGTAAACAAGGGGAACATAGTTGCCTCATAGTCTGTCAGGTTTTCCATAAATGGTTTACATCCATAGAATGTTAGATTAAGTTATTAAGATTTTAATATGAAATATATTACTGAAGTTAAATTTAAAAAAAAAAAATATATATTTTTAATACTGAAATGAATGAACACAGTTTACAATGAAAAGTCTAACAGGTTTGCATAGTTTCAGTAGGAAGTTGATCACGACTCTGTATATGTTTTCTCCACTAATTTTTTCATATTTATGCGAAGAATATAGTCGCAGATCTTCAAATTTGTCAAAAATATGACAATGCATTCAATCTTCTTGAAAATGCATTTATTGCTTTCCTTAGACTGCCAAAATTTATTCTCATGATAATATGCACTGAGATGAGAGAATATTTCAGCCATATTCAGAAAATAGGAATTTACTGAAAGAAAGATAGGCTGTTTATGCTTCTTTCCAAAATGAAATATATATTTCCCTTTACAATATTAGATAGTATTTTTCCAATTTTCCTTAAAGTATTTTTCTACAACATATTTTTCATCATTTAATAATACATAGACCTTTAAGAAGAGTCTATCTAATTTAACTAATTTATATACAACAAAGATTAAGTTAATTTTAAAATATATTGGGTGGTAAAATTCCAACCCAATTCCTTCAATTTTTGTAAATTTTTAAAATATTTTACAGACTTATGACACACCTTGTATATGAATATATATATATTTAAGAGGATTATAAAGCTATGAAATATCAATTTTTTTAGGTATTTTTACAAATTATTTTCATTTGTATTCTTTTTATGATTATTGATAGTGAATGTATTTTGTTTTAAATAAAATATTGATGTCAGCAGTTTAAAATAAAAGATTTTTTATAATTTTTGTAGGGGTAAAATGTAAAATAATGAATCTGTTTGAAAAACACAGCAACAGTGTATTTTCATGAATCGCCATGAAAATACATGGTCACTGTGTTTCTGAAATTTATTCATTATTTATTACTTTATTAAATGATTTATAAAATGATTAAAATTTTTAACAGTGAGAAAGGCGTGAGTTTTAAAAATCAATTATGATAATAAATGGGGCTTACTAATAGTAATGAATTCTAGAAATATCAGTAAATTCCAGACTTTGTCATTTGATTGAAATAATGTCTGCCTACAAAATAGTTTTGTACATAATGTATAACTCTATAACTTTCTGTTAGGTGCTAAGATGTTTTAGCAAGATGATACTACATTACTATTATTATTATATTATAGTGTTATTATTATTGCTATACAGTGAAAGTCCAGAAATCCACAAAGCTTGGGACCAGAGGTTGTGTGAATTTTGCGGATTTCAGGACAGAAAAGATAAAGCATAATATCCAGACTAAAAGTGCAAAATAAATAAGGCATTTTAGATACATGTAATTAAATTATTATATACATTATTGTAATAATGTATTGTATGCATTAAATTATTATTACATATATAAATTGATTATATTATTCATTGTATTATATGTACAATAGCATCGAGGTTTGCCGATTTCACCTCATGCAAAGATTTCCGGTTTCGTATTCTTGTGTTAGAATCACTGTTGCTGTAAAATTTCAACAGCTTTTCTTTATTTTTCTGTATATCATACACAATCGTGTCCTAATTCCATATGATTCTGATATAAACTGAGCAGTAGCAATTGCCTCCATCTTTTGCAGAATTGGCACTTTTTGCATTACCGTCAATGCAACTTGTTTACATTTTTCAACGTTGCAAGCAGTAAAATCATGAGTGCATTTCTTATCTCTCATTGTATTAAAATGGGTTGAAATTTAAAATATTCTTAATTTATCCACAAAATATCTGGATAGAAAAAAAGGCAGCACTAAATAATCTCGTGAAATAACAAAACTCAGAAAATACAACAATGTGAATCCTGAACTTGAAAGAAGAGTTGAGTGAATCATCTGCTTTCTTACCTCAATGCAGATTAGAGGAGAAAAAGCTTTTATCATGATGTAATTTAGTATTTCCATTATGACTCATGATTGTTCGGTAATTATGATGTCATTATTCTGTAAGTATTTTTTCTTTGATATTTCGTACTCAATGTTGTGGTTTCCGGAACCTATAAACTGAATGTTTATATTTTGAGAAGCAATGTGGATTTCAGGTCTGCGGATTTTTGGTATTTGACTGTACTAGTGAAAGTACCCAATGCCAGTTAAGTTAGATTGAGAGTAATGCATCTAACTGAGAGAATGATACCGCTGTAATCCTTCTCTAATAACGATGCAAAAAAATATGATTCATAGTCGTACATTTTTCAGTTTGATGCGATATGGAACACACATAAAAAAAAATCGATAGAAAAATAGGCTAATTCTTTCTCATTATATCAGCAACAATGGCATGTAGTTTTTAATGATTTTCATCTTTCTAATCAAATGGTCTTAAAAGCTCAAGTTCCATCCAATATTTTGCCTATATTCAATTTTAGTCGATTAAATGTGGCAAAACATTTATCATAATTGATCAGAAATCAATAATGCGAACAAGTACACACAATCAAACATTCTTCTTTATATGCGTAGTTTTTGTAAAGTTTAGAAATTTTTAATTAACAAACTCTACGATTTGAAAGTGAGATGTAGCAACACTTTTCTTAGATAAAGCATTTTTATCTCCCAACGCGCGACACTGTTGCCATTCAGGAAAATGAGTGCAAAAATTAGCGCTTTCAGTGTTTTTAATTAATATTTCGGCTGATTAAAGTTGTACAAAGTTGAGAATAGCCAAAAAGGCTTCCCATGAATTTTTGGAATCGGGAATAATGTATTTAATGTTTGGCAATGCTATTTTTATTGCATTGTAAAACTTAGAATTTTTTTTTTTAATCTCCAGCTTGCGAGACTGTCACCACTCTGAAAAATGAGGGCGAAAATTATAATTTTACTGAGTTTTTAATTAATATCTCTGATTTTAGCTACTTTTTTTTTTTTTTTTAAGTGGATGTCGACCTTTTCCAGCACCCAGAAAAGAATTGTAGAAAGTGTGGTGATGATAGCTATAGTAGTGACTGAGTTATTAGAAGACAACCAAACATACAGACTTTCTTCTTTTTATATA